GAGATGTTAGCAAGCGAGAGAATAAACTTAGTGGGCGTTATTCTCTTAATTAATTAAGCCTCTCGGATCTTGTCCAGGAATGATGCATCCATCTTCGTCTGGATTTGTGTGCTCCTCTGTAGCTTTAAGTGACTCTATGCTTTCCATCTTCTTCGTCTTATTCGCGAGATTTATTCTTTTGTTTCCCAAAGCGATTTAAAGTGACGCTCTTTTGTTCTTTGTTTACCCAGTGATTTCTTTAAGGGCTTCATCTTTTGGCGATGATGACATCAAACAGTGGGGGTTTATTTCCTTTTCGGAAAAAAAAGTGATGACGATGTATTTTAAAATGTCCCAATTCTATTTGGATGTTCAGTTTTGATGTAATTTAATTCAGAAAACAGAATTTGTATTTCGAAGATCATTAGATTTTTCTATTTGCTAACAATAAAAAGCTTCATTAACTGCATTCTGCGGTTTTTCATTTCTTAATTTTAATATTTTTGCAATAATGGATTACAAATATGAGATCATTAAATTTCTCTTCTTCAATGTAAAGAAAATTTTTCTATGCATTGAAGAGAAAAATTAATAATAAGATTAAATAAGAGAAAAATTAATAATTAAATGAAATAATTTTTCTCTACATTAAAAAAAAAAAAGAGAAATTTAAGGGAACATGGTACGATTTACGCAAAAATTTTTAATTTAAGGATTTTTAAAAATTTTTTGGTTGCCTCCTATGTGTGCATACTATGTCAAATATATTTTGTGCTTAAAATTTCATAAAAAGCTAGCCACACATAATTTTTTAAAGAAAAAAACTTAAAATTTGTGAAGTGGTTTTAAAATGCTACTCCTCGTACAAAAATTTACGTACGCGCATGAAATTTGATTTACAAGTACGTCAAATTATGTATAACAAAAGTTGGTTTTGGTTTTGCGATAACATGATTGGTATTCGTATAACACTTCTTTTTATGAATGCTTATTGAAAATTCCTTAAAAAATGTATAAATTCCGAGTTCAACTATTTTTAAAAAAATAAGTATTGCTTCCATTCAAAAATGCATACCATCTTTTGTTACATGTACTATTGGCAATGGGTAAAAAAAATTTCAAAGTATTAGGCACAATAGAAAAAAAAGCCTTAGCATTTTAATTGAAAACAAACTAGTTATTTTATCTTTCTGAGATAAGTATGTTTAAAGTTTTGATTTGCCATAGGGATGTGAATAAAAACAAACGTAAAAGCTATCATAATTCTGTGTTTTTTACTTTTAGAGCTCTCAAATTTTTTGAGGTTATAAAAAAGTATTTTAAGAATAATTTGGGCTAAAAAAATTACATTTGATTTTTTGACCGATTTTGGTCAATTGAATCGTTCTGTGTCCTCTTAATGATCTCATATTTGTTATTCATTATTGCAAAAAATATTAAAATTCAGAAATCAAAAATCACAGAATGTAGTAAATGAAGCTTTTTATTGTTAGCAACATGAAAAGCAAATTAAACTTTCCATTGCTTTAATATTATTATTTGAGTGCCAATTTCTTAATTTTATTTTAAAAAATATATTTATTTTCCAATGAGGTTGGGGTATCCCATCAATAGATGTACGGTGTAGTTTATTTCTCATTATGGTATTTTGGAAAAAATACGAGATTTCTCTTAGAGATTTCATTTGTGACTGCCTTAAATTTTAAAATTCAAATATTTTCAAGAGACAGAAATCTAAAAAATTTATTGGAAAATATTGTCAATTCTGTAAAAAGGTTTACATCTTTCCTGCACTCTTCGAGAATCGGAATATTTTTATATGTCGTGTGTGTGTGTGTGTGTGTGTGTAAAATGCACAGCAAGTATGTATACCCTAATAGCATATGTATTTTCTAACTCTATTATAATTATCTCGTAATTCATGAGTTATTTGGCAAAGGTTTCTCTGAACTATATATATTCTTGTAAAGGTATACTTTTATAGAGTTTAAAATTTGTATTATCAGTTTTTGACTATTACACATTTTGGAATTTCGGTTAAACACCCCAAAAATTTTCCATTCATTAATCTTTCACAGATCTTCCTATTTCCTTCCTTTGAGTCATGGTATTGAAGAAATATTTTTAATAGACTAGATAAATGAGATTAATGATGATTATTTCTGTTGTATGATTAAATCACTCTCAGTGTTGTAGTCATCAAAAACGGGCATTTTTGTGTGTGGAAAAAGTATAGATATTAAGTAGTTTTTCTATCACTATATCTCTGAATAGTTGCTTGGTAACAATTAATACTATTATTCATGATAAATAATTCTCGTAATAAATTAATTCTATTTCAGTTTTAAATAATTTCGATTTCAATTTTAATTTCCTTTGTCACAGTATAAAGTTAAAGCTCGTCTTTGGCCGAAGAAAATCAATTCTCTGAATTTTTAATTACTGTACTTGACTCGAAAGAAAAATTCATTTGTGTTTGTAAAAAAAACATTTAAAAGGTTCTTAATTGCTTTATCTTTAGTTAAACCCATAAAAGTAGAAAATGGATGCTACAACGCTAAAAGCCGATATCCCAGCGATTAATCAATCATTTTCGCAACTTTTCGTGTTCTCTTTTTTTTTAAGCAAAGTTTCTTGATTTGGGTTAAGTTGTTAAAGATAAAAAGGCGTTGCTAATCTTGGATGAAAATCGGTGAACTGCTTGTAACTTTTCAGGAATAGTTCTAATTACTTGTTTTTTTTTGTCCTGAAATTCTTTTAGAAATTATGGTTTAAAATTTTTCTGGTTCAAAATAGAAATAAAAGTTCGTCTTTAAACTATACTTAAAGGGGGGGGGGTATTTTCACTGAAGTATTTATAATATTTTCTTTTATATGTAGGAGAGGATGTGCATTTAATATTTAAAATTTGTCCGCAATGTTGATCATTTATGTCTAGTATTTTGAGTGAAGAAATTAATTTATCGAAAATATATTATACTGAAGAATATCGAAAACTCGGCCTAACGTGGACCGAAGGGTGGCAGAATTTGTGAAAGTGCCGAATTATCGGGAATGGGATTACAAAAGAATAAGTGCGATGTTTCCTTAAAAAATTGTACTGCACTTGTATGTACTTTGTTTGAGAATACAACAGAAAATAAACTGCCCAAATACTCTTAAACAAAGGAAAAGTATGTACTTTATGAAATCCCGGTGCATTTATTACATGAAAATGAAAATTAACGAATGCATGTTATACAGTAATTTAGCTGATCAGACACACCTCAGAAAAAGGCTTTATGAAGCCTTAAAGCTGTCTATAATGAAAATTAAGTAGCCCTCTTTTGCAAAAACTGGCTACTTTTTTTTTAAATAAATGCAAATTGTCCTATTGTCATCTGTATTTCACCTTTGAACGGGTCTACACGTAGGGTTTTTTTGACTTGTAAGTGTGTGACTGTGTTATCCGGACTGCTGGATTATCGAGTGCCGAGTTTTCAGGCGTCTACTGTAACAAGAAAATATTTATCTTACAGTTCCAGTCGAATGGAAAACGCGAGCTTGCAATGGAAAAGTGGTCAAATTAGTTATAATTGCTTCGATCTTGACGTGTTTTGCAGTTGAATGATTTTAATGTTAAAAGTTTCCATTATAAATCGACCACCGCGAGAAAAATCATGGTTTCACTTCGAAGGACGAGTTCATTTTATTGCACTGAGAAGCACTATAATAATGAGCAGTTGCATAATAAAAATAAATCATTTATATTCATCTTGCATAAAAAGAAATTTCGATGGGTTGAATTCATGTGATGTCATAAAGCCACATGATAAGTGCAACCGCGTGTCTCCTGCTAATCAGTTCATGCACTTCATTATTGTCTACTTTTGATTTTTATGAAACTTTTTTAAAAAACAGATATTTGTCAATATTATTAACACACTTTGGTAAACAAAATGAACTTGACTTAAAAGTACAAGTATAGTATTAGATTTTTTTCCCTCCCGTAAATTTTGAAAAACATTTTGAAGAATCTTAATCATTCTTCTTTACCAAATCATCAAATTTGAAATTTTATCTATATTTTACAAAGAAAACAAGTACAAGTAGAATGCCAGTTTTGAATTCAATGGGAAACACGTAATTGTATTTATCATGTGATCGCGTCCTGAATTTAGCTCATTGTTATGACTATTAACAAGTAGTACCAAAAATATTTTTTTTAAGTTAATGCTGCTTAGGTCAACAAAGAAAATTTTTATTTTAGTTACTTTTTATTAAATAATTATACAATTAATATAAATATGTATATACATATGACAGAAGCACAATATTAAGTAACAAAATAGAAAGCGATTTTCCTTGCCATTTTCCATTTCCCTTTCTATATATAATGTTGGACTACTTTTTGTGTGTGTGTGGGGTACTATTTATTCATTAATTAAATTCAATTATTCCAATAAAATAGTATAGTAAAGAGGAAATCACATTCTCAGAAATTAGGTCATTCCAAGTGGGATTCGAGCCAACGACCTTTGGATTAGAAGTCCAACGCGCTTTCCATTGCGCTATAGGGATACATAGAACGATTTTCCTTTCTATTTATGCTGTTGAACTATCATTTTTGTTTGTTACTATTTATTCATTTTTTAATTTAATTAGGGAATTAATATTTGAAAAAAACTGTATTAACATCAAGTGTCATCCACCACAAATTAAAAAGTGTTAGAACTTGAATGGTTGAATCGAAAGTATTTTATTAACGATTGAAAATTTGAACAAGATATATAGGGAAACGTTTTGTATTTTTGTGATTAATTCGTTTTATTTCGATTGGTTTCAAAATGGTATTTCGGCGTGGAAAGACTAAGTAAAAAGGAATGTTAGGGAAATTTTTGTTTTGTTTTTATCGAAACTATTTTAAAATAACATCATTTGCATTCGTTTATGGATATTTTCCGGTGCATCTGTTTTGTTGAAACACCACCCTATTTATGCAGTGCAATATCCCTACAACCCCTTCGAACATTTTCCTTATCTCACCCTCTGCTGCACATCGGTTATCCCAGCGGGGAATCCGGCAATCTATCCGGCCAAAGTTCCGCGTACCCTTAAATGGGCGCGCACGTATACATATATGTATATCTCAGTAACAAAATTACTGTCCTCATACATCCTCCCGCGTCGTCATACTCATTGATCCGCGAGAAAAAGTAGTATTGCCGTCTGAAGGAGGACATAAAAAAAGGATAGGAATTAGACTTCTTTTCCTCCGTCATGCGTTTAATTCCGCTGGCAGTAGATAATAAATGAGGAACGGCGTTAAAACACGTTACCACTCTCTTCACACACATTTGGGTCCGACTTTCTTTGTGAGGGCCGTTTCCTTTGGGACTGTTTAATTAAATCTGGCATTCAGTTTATTTTGAAGTTCATTTTCATCTATTTGCATAATTCATAGTTCCGTTTGTGTAAAGAGGGGGCTTTGGCTAGACTCAGCTGTGATTTCCCCTTTCGGGTATTGAAGTATAAATCGTAACTGACTTGCGCTTGAGATGGTTCGGTCCTGCCCTTTCCTGATCCTTGTGCAGTTGAATATATTGGAGTTCAATGTTTTGGCAAGTCGTCGTCTCAAGGAGTTTTATTCTCATTTGTTTCTTAACAGTTTCCAAGTTTCGAAGGACAATTGTTTTAAGTTAATCGTATAAATTACTCTCTAAGGAATTGCAGTTTATATATTTTCGAAGTGTTATAACGTAGTGATATTTTTATCATTTAACCTTTAAAAATGGATGTAAATATTATTATTTTTTTAATTTAAAAACTTTTCAATACCTGGTTTATAGTTTAATGATTAGATTATCAATTAATTGTTAATGTATTAACATAACAGATTCCCATTTTTTATTTGAAAATACTTTCGTGGCCGTGGTAGCCTAGTGGTCAAACGGTCACGGACTCGTAGCCGGCGGGTCATGAGTTCGAGCCTAGGGCCACTGAAGACCCACCGTGTAGAGATCGATATAAGTTAAATCTGTCGAAGCTGAACGTCCTCACGTTGACCTAGTGTGGTAATTTGGAGAAAGGGTTCTAGTTCAGGTTTCGTCCTGGTCACTTGACCGTAGTTCAAAATTACGAAGACCATCGCCAGTAGCCCTCATAAGGCAACATTAATAAACACTCACTCACTTAAAAATGCTTTGAAATCTTTATTTTGCTCAATTATTTCCATTCACTTTTATATCTCTTTATTTTTGTTTTGTTGAAGTATTTACTTTTACTATTTCAATCATCGTAAAATCACTTATCGTTATTTCCATTTAATAATTTCCTTAAAAAAATGCTTTAATGAATTGAAATTTGACTTATTATATTTTTATTTTGATAATAATTAGCTTAACTTAATGATGATTTTAACTATTTAAAATTATCAATCTACTTTAAAAATTAAATAGTTTTATTCAGTTTATAAACCTATTCACATTTTTCCTAATTAATTATTATATCCGTCTGATGCTTAAAAAATAGGCCCTAACGGGAAACAATTTCTCAAATAAGAAAATGCTAGTTTTAATATGAGTTCGCATAATTATGAAATCTGTGTAGAATGGACATGACTTAAAATTGAAAGTATTCAATAAATGTGCATTCTGTTTTTGTTTTTTTCATTTCAAATGACTTTTTAAAATATATTTTATGTTTTTAAAATAGGGTACCAAAAATATGTAAAAAATAAAAAAAATAGTTTGATTCTAACAGTAATAAATTTCATATTTTTTAAAATGTTATTCTTGATACTATACAAAAGTAAGAGTTTGATATTGGATTTAAAGCATGTTTCTATATCTAAAAAATTGCTTCTTGTTCGGTTTATGCGTCCTAACACTAGACAGACTGTCTTAAAAAATAAGCACTAATATATGGAAATTTGAAAGTAATTTATTCTTTGTAAGCTCAAAAACATCTTGAAAGAACTGGCCAGCATTTTTTTCTGAAAAAAAATCAAGAGATATGACGCATGGCTGAAAGCAGACTTATTGCCTACTTAATCTAATGGATTAAGTTACCTATGAAAGAGTCATGAGGAGTCGTAAGTCGAAAAAGATTACAAGATCTTATCATCATCGTAATCTTTTGATCTTTTTTGAATTATGACTTTCATTAAATATAGACTATATATATAAAACTTAACACCTTGTCTTATTAACCAGCGTACAACCAACCTGTTTGTTGACTATAAATTCGGTCGGCGGATATAAAAACTTTTTTTTACTCGAGGTGTGAAACGATGTTTTGAAAAGAAAAATTCTTGGAGAGCTCGAAATGGAAAAGTAGGAGTCTTATCTTTATAATTTTGATTGATTAATCTGGTTTTATGGTTTATGTATGTGTTTGTGTAAAGATTTATAGGTGTATATTAGTCTCTTAGCGTTCAAAAAACTTTTTGTTTATTGTGTAACAAATATTCCTTCAACCGAAGTAACAATGTTATTTTTACTTTGAAAAATTGTGTGCAGTGAAAATCTCGGAGCATTCTTATGAAATCTGAAGTTGATAGAATGGCCGTGGTAGCCTTGTGGTCATGCTAATGAACTCGTGGTTGGAGTGTCATGAGTTTGAGCCTTCTACCTGAAGACCCACTGTGTATAAGGGCTGATGCATGTTAAATTGTTGAGGCTCTAAGTCCTCCCATAGACATGGTGTGGAAGTTCTAAGAAGGGAATGCCAGCTCGTCACTTGACCATGGATTAAAATCATGAGCCAGTAGCCCTCGTGTTGCTTTATAGTATGACGTTAACACTAGATTGCCCAAGGAAGTCATTTTGACTGCTTTTTAATTTCAATTAGAAAAACAATTACGTATATAATGCATAATTTCTTAAAATTTTTTAGAATATTTTTTTTTCCAAGTGAAGTAATTTTTTTTATTGTTAATATTTACTAATAACCTATTATATGACTGTAAATAATATAAAAAAATATTAGAAGTTAATTTTAAACAAATTTCCTTACACATTAATCATTCTTTCACAATGCAGTCATTTTGACTGCTTTGGGGCAATATAGGTATACACTAAGTTTCAGTCTTTCTAGTTTTAATAAACACTCCCTTTTACACTGAAGTTGATTAAATTGTTGAAAGTGACCCTTTCATATTTTACTGCATTTCATAAAAATGACTTCATGAAAATATTTTTCATTTATACACACAAAACATTCTTGTAAATTTTTATTCTTTTCAATAATAATAATTATTGAAATAATAATTATTATTATTATTTTATCAAGATGAATGTTAGTAAGATAACGCATTTAACATATGTTTAGTTGAAGGAAGCTGATAAAGCTTCAAAAGAAACAAATAGGCATCGCTGGAAGGGCCTTAAACCTTAACTGCACAAATCTCGTGTCTCTTAATAAGACGATTTTGCTACACGTTTTTTTTTATCTTAACATGTAAATTAAATTTAATAAATAGTCAGATATATATATATAAAACTTAGATACTTCTCCTCGTTAATTATAACGTGATTGGCAGAAAGGAACTACATTCAAATGTATCTCAGCGTCAGCAACACTAAAAGTCTGAAGTTCTCCATGGAAATTTACACCCAAAAGAGACGGGGAAAAAACGTGCCGTAGTTGCCTGAGGAGGTACCATTCAGAAGATAGGTCGTGTGAGTTTAATTAAAATGTAAATTGACGTAATTAATGTAACCTTTCAAGATGTGTCGTTAAATTATTTTTCGTTTTAAGTGTGTATTCTGCATCGATTTTTTTTTAAAAAAAGGTCTTTGTGGTTAAGTTGATGCTACTGAGATAAAAGTGGATAATTAAAATTTATTTCATTAAATTTTACAAGTAAATAAAGTATGTATGTCTTTATTATATCCTTGATCGTAAAGAAGATGCTTTTCTCAACAGTGTGCCTTGAGGGGTAGCAAAGTTCATCTTTGAATGTGAAAGAATAACATTTCAATATCTCGACACATACAAAACATACACACACACAATAAATATTTGATCGCATTTCGACTAATTAAATGATAATGTTGATGAAAGAAGTCATTTTTATTCAAAATAATGAATTCAATAGGAATTATTCATTTATTTGTATGTAATTTTGTTTTTGGATTTGTTAAAAGTTAATCGAATGCGTATGGCATCATGAATGAATTGGGTTTATTTTGATATGTAGTGCTGTTACTCCGATAATTACAAAATATACCACTTGTGCTGTTGCCATTGAGAGATCCTTTCGAGATGATATTGATGAGGATTATTATTATATTTTTTTCTATATTTTGAGCCCGTATCTGTGCTTTTTTGAGTTAATTTTATCTCTTTAAAGTACTAGTTATGCTGTAAGTAAAAGACTGAGAATTTTATTAGATATAACTACTTTTGACAATAGTGTGTGTGAAAGTCTGATAAGGAAATTTTTTTTGTTTTTTATACTAATATTAGGAAAAAAGTGACTTTTTGAAGTAATCAATCCTAAGTGTGGCAAAGTAATATTTATTTTCATTCTAAAAAAGTAGTCTTTGAAAATGATTCATCATTAGCATCTAATATTA